ATAATCAGCACAAAAAAATAAATAAATATATAATAAATATTTCGTGCACATGGAAATTTGGTGTAACGTGATACCCCTGATTGAATTTTCAACACTGCCCCCAGCCCACAAATTTAATCATCAGTGATGATTAAATTTGTGGGCTGGGGGTGGCAGGAATTACACAGTGTTTACCAACTCTAAGAATTAATCCTTTTTTGTCACATAGGTTCTGTATATTTCATAAAAGAACCTTTCTGTATATTAGTGGTTATATCCGTCGGATAGTATCTGTAAATATCCGTGAATATCCGCAACTATCCTGATATCAATTTTATCTCACGGTTGATCGACAGATATTCAACGGATATTGAGAAAAATGTTTGTGAATATCCGTGAATATCCGTGATACAAAAAATTTAAAATAAAATATCCGTGGCGTCATTCCTTTAAAAAAAATTTAACAATAGTATTAGTGGTGGTATTAATAACGAATAATAATATTATAGTAATAGTAATAGTAATAGTGGATGGTGTTAATGATAAATAATAATAATAGTGGTGATATTAATAATATTAGTAGCATTAATAATAATAGTGGTAGCATTAATAATAATAAGTAATAATAATAGTGGTGGTATTAATAATAGTAGTAGCATTAATAATAATAGTGGTAACATTAATAATAATAAATAATAATAATAGTGGTAGCATTAATAATAATAAATAATAATAATAGTGGTGGTATTAATAATAGTAGTAGCATTAATAATAATAGTGGTAGCATTAATAATAAATAGTGAATAATAAATAATAATATAATAATAATTATTAAAAAATGACAGAGTAATAATAATAATATTATTATTGAATTAGAGGAAAATCAAGATGAGAACTCTCATGTCAATAACAACCAATTAATTAATATCAACCCACAAAAAAATAATTCAAATAAACGTATAAATATTATTACTGTTAATTCAAATAAAAAAAAAAATTTAATTCAAAAAAAACTAGTTGGGTTTGGGAATTAATGGAAAGTACTGAAATTGAAGAAGAAGGATCAATAATCAAGGCAGCAATTTGTAAAATAAATGTTTCAAAGACTTCTGAAATTAAATATTGTAATATAATTGTTCATGGTGGTAGTGATTCATCAACTTCAAATTTTATAAATCATTTAACATCAGTTCATGGACTTACTAAGGATAATTATGAAACCAAATTAAATTCTAAGGTAATTATTTATTTATATTAATTTAAATATTTTTATTTTTATTTAAATTCTTGTATTTTTTGTCTTATTATTATTAGGAAATTCCAAAAAACCAATCGATTGATCATATATTTAAAAAAGTTCAACATCATCCAAACCATTAAAAAAAGTTGGATAGGGCTTTGGCACTCTTTATAATTGAAGACTTACAACCTTTGCACATTTTAAAATCACCTGCATTTATTAAATTTTTAAATTTATTAGACTCATCATTTATAGTTCCTAAATCAAATACAATCAAATCCTTAATACATACTGCATACACCAAATCTTTTAATTACTTGGTTGAACAATTATCATCAATTGAATATGTTGGTTTAACATGTGATTTATGGACAGCTAGGAGTAGACTTGGTTATTTGGGGGTTACCTGTTCTTATATAGATGAAGGATTTGACCTCCATGAAAATTTGTTAACTTTAATGTATCTTCCATCTACTCATACCTCTCCTTTGATTGCACAAGCACTAAATGATATAATTATTAGTTGGAGAATTGATAAAAAGGTTATGTCTATCACCACAGACAATGGGCCTAATATGGTTGCAGCATTTAAAGTAAGTTATTTAATGACTTAAATTTAATAAAAAAAATTTCTTCTGAATTAGAACTCATAATTTATTTAATTATTAACAATGACTACTTGAATTTAAATTAGCAGTCGCGGATTTACAGGGGGTCAAGTGTCACTCATATATAAAATTAATGATCTTTGTGCATAATTTTATATGTAAAATCAAAGAAAAAAATCACTCTGGTATACACAAACCTACCCGATTTAACCAAGATTGTTCCTTGAATTATAAAAAATCAAAATATATGGAAAACCCTTTATTTTGACATATTTTTTGCCAGGGTAAACAAATAAGACTCGAAGAAAATCTTAATGTGAAGTTGGCCCACCAGCTCTATAAGTTCTATAATATAAGAAATTGCAATAGTAAGTTCTAATCTCCAAGCTTTAAATATTTATTTTAGAATTTGTTTATAAAAAAGTATTAATTTTTTTTTATAATATATATATCACTGGGTGAATTAGAAAGTTGTATCAAGCAAATTTATTAACTTGGTGATATTTATTCAATATTTTCAAACAAAAATGAATTTGTATAATGGACGTCTTTCAAGGATGGCTATTAACAAAATGTCAGTTAATTTAAAGAAAGATTTGTTGATTTTTGATTAAAGTTTCATTAATGATCATTAATGGTTTTAATTATACATATATAACCAAAAGTGACAAATCATCATGAAATCAAAGAAATCGAAATAATAATAATAATAATAATTGATAATAATGATAATGATAATAATGATAATAATGATTATGATTATTAATAACAAA